ACACCCTGATGACGTCATAAGTGATTACCGAGAAAAGTAGAGCAATGCAACATGAACGATTCCTCAGAACTCATTCGGATTTTGGAAAGCGTCGATGATGATGAATTTTGATTTTTGATTGATGAATTGAATTTTTGATTGATTGGTGAACAAATATGTTTATTTATTCCATGACCAAGATTTTAGTATTATACGGCTGATTTACCTAGTGGGAATAATTATATACAATTGTTGATTAATGAATAATTATGTACCTTCTTTAATAATAATGCAAAATTACAATTAATGTTTTTTTACTTAGGGTGTGAAGAGCAATTTTTCATTTTGTGTTGTGCCATTTTCTTTCTCAGTCTCAAAATCATCTAGCAGCATCAGCATCATATCAAATCCCCATTGTCATAAGAGTGTAAGACTTTTCTTCTGTGCGTCACTTGGCCTACGCCTTCCCCGACACATAAAATATTATGAATCGATGTCTGTATATTTCGGTTAGATCGATTTTGAAATCGATACACAACATTCTACGAATGTTTCAAAAGGGGAAGGTCAGCTACGCCGTTGTCGTCCAGTCGCGACAGTGTCGTCATTAGGATGGAGAGTAGTGCTAATGTTTAGTACTATTTTATTGTTATTGTTTGTTTTTTATTTATGTTTATATGTACAAAGTACATATATAAAAAGAGTGGAAGACGGCACAAGATTAAATAAAACATACAGTTTATTAAGAGTCATTTATAGCATAAAAAACCAACAAAAACAAGTTATTTCACGTTATCGATATATCAACTCTTGTCAACACTATTTTATTTTGGCGCTTTGGCGTACAGGACACGGTAATGCGTTTTTGGCGTGGCGCTCAAAAGGTTAAAGCTTAACAAAACGCAACTGCACAATTTTTATCAATTTCAAGACAAAAACAACCGTTGTTATCGGCTTGGTTGAAAACGTTAACAACCGCCTTCACATCTGTAGTTATGATAATTAAATAAGCGATTTAATAGCTGATTTACAATGAATTCTATGCAGTATAACATAACGCTACTGCACAATATAACTGTTATTCTTATCTTTTCTTAACAATACATTTAAAATGAAATCATGTTACGATAATTAAACAAGTGAATTTCTAGCTGATATACCATGAATTTTTTTAGAGCTTCATAAAACACTACTGCACAATTAACTGTTCTTAAAAATACACTTAAAATAGAATTTAAATAAAAAAGGAAGATACATTTTAAAAAGCGAGCAGAAGTTAAAACACCTCCAAGATTATTCTCTTTTTATGAAATTATTAATCAAATAATAATCGAATCGCTATGGATATTATGATGTTATGATAATTAAACAAGCGAATTACTAGCTGATTTACTATGAATTCATTAGAGTACAATAAAATGCTACTGCACAATTTAACTGTTATTGTTATCTGTTTTAACAATACATTTAAAATGGAATCATGTTATGATAATTAAACAAGTGAATTTTTAGCTGATTTACCATGAACTGTTTAGAGCATAACAATACGCTACTCCACATTTTAACTGTTCTTAAAAATACGTTTAAAACATAATTTAAAAAAATAAAAGAAAATATATTTTAAAAAGCGTGTAGAACTGAAAGCGAAACTCAAATATTATTATTTTTTTCATTAAATTACTAATCGAATACAAATCGATATCGTTTCGTTGTATTTATGTTAGTTATGTGGCAACATCAAATCTGACAGCTATAGGAAATATGTCATGCGAAATGAAATCACAATTCAACAAGTAAAAAGGTACTAGTGAATTCACAACTAAATAGTTGCCATTGTGTTATTTTGTTTGTTATTTTTCAAATAAATTCTCAAGAACTCATATGGAGTGAGATTGTCGATCACATTATAGTGTGACAACAGTTAAAAGTAAGTGTTCAACAGTTTTTAATTTATTAATTCTAGTGCTGATATTTGATAGTGATGAATGTATGAAATGATGAAGTTGTTTTATTTTTTAACATATGCACAAGCTATACCTGACAAACAAAATAGCTTATTTGTAACACGGCGATAAGATTAGCTAGCTAACACCAGATAGTTACGAAATGGACAATTTTTATCAAATACCAAGAAATAAGACAGTCGATTTTTAATTGTTTTTGGACTACTGGTAGGCAGTCAGTCCTGAATTATTAAATAATATAGGGCATTAAGTTTTAAGTAACATTTACCTATATTTGAGTTTAAAGTAAACAAATCTATTTTATTTTGTTCACTTTGTCTTATTTTTTTTTATTTAATATTATTTCAGTTGCCATCGTCATCGCGTGAGTGTCATGATTGCGAAGGATTGATAAAGCAGCAACACGTTAAACTTTAGAACGGGAACCATCTGAATCATCTAGTCCATCCTTGTAGCAATCTAAAGTGAGTAATGTATTGAACCTAGAACAACAAAGATTAGATCATACATCATACAATATACTGCTGCCTAATTTTGTAAGAGCACCACTCACACAAAATCAATGTTTTTTCCTGGTTGTAACAATTCCAATCAACTCACTGTTCCATCAGCATTGCGGGTATGTATTTTTGTGAATACAATTACTATGTACCTCCAGAATGTAGAATCAGTAACTACCATTTAAATAGTGTATTAACTCTTGGTATTTACTTTTAGAATTAATATATAACCATATTAAAACATTTAGTGTAGCACAAATTATAGATTTTTCTACATTATTGTAAGATAATATTTACCATCATATAGACTTTGAAAATATTTGCAATATGCCCGAATATACTGTACATTATTATCTACGCTTATCAAAGGCACAATGCCAATAAATTCTGTCTGAAGTGCCCAAAATGTCAAGTAAACATAGTGGAGCTTTGCACTTGCTGTATATTTGATAAAAGTAAGAACAGGAGATAGTGATGAATGCATATAGGCATTATTGCAAGTACCAAGAAACAAATTAGAGCGGCTCATGAATATGGCCCAAGAAATATTAAATCAGGATGTTGTTCCTATGAATTTTATCCATCGTTACCACTCTCTGTGCCAAATTCTATTCAGTAATTATGATATTATATGTGAGGCAAATAATTTCTTAGCTTTCCTAGATGTTTTTGTTATCCAAAATCCTAACAACATCATAGGTCACACTGTGTATAGAAAAAAGACCCATACAAACTGATATTTAAGCGGTGAATCTCACCATAATCCTTCACAGTTAGTTACCATGAGCAAATCTTTGTTACAGAGAGCATATGGGATCTGTGAGAACAAGCACCTGGCCGCGGAGCTTCAGCACGTCAAGCAGGTTCTGCACAAAATCAAGCTTCGGGACCCACGTCTTCGTCACAGTGACCGAGTGAAGCCGACCGCAGTTGAGCGCGTGCCTGCTGTACTACCGTATGTCAAGGGTGTCACCCCAACCAGATAGACATACATCAGATTTGATAGACCACAAATCCTCGTTAAAGAACATTAATTCCTACCAAGGATGATATGTGAGGCTACTGAAATTAAAAAACATCCTAATTTCAGTAGAGAAGGCGGTTGGGTACTGCCACCTGCTTGGGACACTATAATTAATAAAATTAAAACAAACCCCAAGCATACCACTGCAAGACTTAAAGATAGAGTAAGTTCAATCTGCGTAGATTGGACTATAAAATTAATAATAAAAAGCTGAAGGTACTCCATGTCCCAATACTGACATTGGGATGGCAGTCACCTCAGTACCCCGTGACCATGGGTGCTATAAAGCACCTGAAACGTCAGGAATTAATAATAATAGTATAACAATAATATAGCCATTTATTTCCGAACTTTGGGGTTACATAATATTTGTGTTTGAGTTCCTATTGTAATACTAGTTAAGGTAAGTCCCTCTGTTCGGTGTGCCTTTTGGCATAGGCCTCCAAAAAGAAAAATCACGCGTCGGGAATTAAAATTTAACGAAATTAAAAGCAATAAAATTGGTAAAAGTAGTCGTTAAAAAGCTGTATTTGTGAAAATAAAAAGCTTTATATCATAAAAATCCCGACTTTTTTTAAACCAATTCCTTAACCATTTCATTATTTTAATTGCATATTATCATTTCCATATGCTTTTATATGTGGGCACCCATGGCCGAAGTGTCTATGAACAGTGGGCATCCCCCTTTACATCTAAAAGGAAGAAAATACTTAACCTTCCTTTTTGGAAGTTCCGTAATCGGATAAAAAATACACAAAAAATTTCATGAAAATCTGTTGAGTAGTGTTTGCGTGAATCGTGAATTCAAAGACAGACATACAGACAGATAGGCAAAATTTCTTTTTTTCGGGGGGTAGGTGCCCAAAGAGTGACAACATATTTTTTGGGTCTTGTTTTGATAAATAATTAAAATAGTAAAACTTACAAGTTTTAGGTATATTTTCTAATAAAATCCATTAAAACTTATTCATCTTAAATCTTGACTAATATCCCATACCACATGTATTAGTTTGCACCGCATCTGATACAAATACAATTCTTCAGTACTACACTTCAACACTGCACTATGGCTGGAAGAAGAAATCTTGAAAAAACTAACCCGGAAGATACTATAATGACTGACATTACACTTTACTGATGTAAAACACTTGAAAAAAAGTTTTAAGAGTGCATGTCTTCTTATCAAGCCCGGTTGGAAAGTTCTCAACCTAATATCACTTCTCTCACCAATGATTTTATCATGTTCAAAGAGACTATGAAGACTGCGCTGGAGATCTCAAAAAAGCAAGTTCAGTCCCTTACACTATTGATTGATGACATTGACAACAAGAGCAGGCGTAAATTTCTTTTAATCCGAGGCATTGAAGAGTCTGATACAGAAAACTGCATTGACACTGTTGTAAATCTGGTGACATCAAAATTAAAAATATATACATTTAGATCAACTCAGACTCATTCATGTTATCGTTTGGGAAAAAACACAACAGCAAATCCACGTGCACTGCTGGTAAAGTTTACAGATTATGCCATTCGTCAAGAAATCTGGCGTGCTAAGCTTTCTTTGAAAGGAAGTAATATTTCTATTGCTGAATTTCTTACTACTCTTAGAAGAGAAGTTTTCAAAGAAGCTCGACGCCTACATGGTATGCACAAGTTTTGGACACAAGATGGTAACATATATCTAAAGCTCTGTAATGGAAGCAAGGTGCGTCTTGTTTCTCTAGACCAACTGGCTGAATATCCTGTGAGTAATTCAGAAACTTCCAAAGCTGTGACCTCCAAACAACGGTCTAAACCTGGAAAAAAAGTTGTAAAATTAGTCTCTTTATATATTAACTTTTTCTTTTTCTCTATTATTGAGAATCTCACTACTGTATTTAATTGCATATTTTACTTAAAATGATAATATTTAACTTACCAGTATTGGAGTTTATGCAATTATTCATTTCTTTTGTTTGTAGGGCATAATTATATTACGTATCATTACTTATAAATACTAACAACTTTTATCATTGGTAGTTGTAGGACTTATTACCCAAACTACCTGCTTTATATAATTTAACTTGAAACAAACCTCATAGAACATTGAATTGAAACTTTTTGCAACCTTCAAAATTTTTATTTTTGTTTGTAATGTCAATATGAAATGACAATGTCAAATAATTAAAATGTCATAGTAAAAACAGATCAGAAGTTCTGTTTTTACTATGATAATACGATCGTCATACGCAGGGTTACCACCGTAAAAATTTAAAAGTGCGCATTTACAGATTTTTCTTTAGAGTAAATTTTTTTAACCGGCATACTTGTACTGTTTTCACTTTTCCTTATCAAATTATAATAAATTGTACTTCCTCCTGATATGGTTGTAATTTCCTAACTGGTAGTAGATGTGGCAAGCTAATAACAATTTTATTTTTGCTGAACCCACGGTATAGCAAAATAGCTCACTTATTTTTATTATTTATTTTTTACTTTTTCTATTAAACATTTATAATATATATGTATATACTATTTTTTATTTATTATTATTATTTATATGTAAACGAATAAAATTATAAATTTAATTTTAAACTTGCGATGGATATTTCCATAGAATCTGATTACTTTAACTCTACAAGTTCTTCACCATCATCGTTTTCCCCGGGTCAGGGTTCCCCAGAACCTCAACTTAGGGACATATTCAATAATGCCCTTGAGCTTTACCTACTGAAGGAATTTGAATATATGTCATATTAATGCACAAAGTGTTCCAGCTTACTTTTCAGATCTTCTTGCAACTTTCGAAAACAGTCTTATTCATGCCTGTCTCATATCAGAATCATTTCTTAAACCTAGCTTACCATCTACTTTGTTTTGTCTTCCGGGCTATCATCTTATCAGGAATGACAGATTAAACAAGCGTGGCGGAGGTGTTGCCATATACTTGCGGTCAGACTTACCACACACGATCGTTTCCAGATCGCCCGAGGTTTACCCTAAATCATTGGAATACATTCTCATTGAAATAATGGTATGCAACACACCTTTCTTGCACTTGCACCTCCTTCTGTAAATTATTTCAATGAATTGGAACGGCTGATTGAGATGCATCTCCCAAACTACTCCCACTCAATTTTCATGAGTGACTTTAACACCTGCCTTATTCGAAATGATGCTAGATCGAATAAGCTTAAACGCTTAAGTGCATCAAGCAATATTAAAATTCTTGACCTCGAATTTACATATCACGCTAATAACACTAACTCTTTACTGGATTTAATCCTTACATTTGATCCTGATCGTATATCTCTACATGGTCAATTCGTGACTCCTGGATTTTCCCATCATGATCTAATTTTCGCATCATATGCTCTTAAATCCACTAAATCATCTCCCAAAATTATGTTTCAGCGTAACCTTGTCCGTATGAATCGCCAGCTTTAAGTTATGAGATATGCAATGCTAATTGGGCAGACTTTTATAACACTAATAATATTGACAATAAACTGCAGTTACTCAATAAGATTATAACAAAAGCTTATGACAAAGTAGCGCCTTTAAGACCAGTAAAAATGAAACGGGCACCAGCACCTTGGTTAACGCCACATATTTGATCTCTTATGGCACGTAGGGACCGCCTTAAAAGAAAACATAAACGTTCGCCCAGTGATGAGAACTGGGTAATATTTAAAAAAAGCACGAAATCGCTGCAACCAGGTGATACGAAATGCCAAACTCCGACATATTCACAATACTATTGAGACTTGCACAACCCAGAATTTATGGAAGTTTTTGCGCAGCCTAGGCTTTGGTAAAAGCAAACAGAATGTTAGTTAGTCCCTTGATTTAACAGCGCTCAACAAACACTTTTGCTCTTTACCAGTTTCGTTGGACTCAACAGTCAAAACTCCTTTTCTGAGGAGGAGGGAGAACCTTCTTTCCCTTTACCATGTTGTACTCCTTTCTGTTTTGAACCAGTGACTGATAATGAAGTAAAAAAAAATTGCATCCGTCATATCCAGTAAAGCTGTCGGCCCTATTAATATTGGAGATGATATGGTTTTGTCGATTTTGGAACAAATAGTTTCCCATATTACTCACCTAATAAATTTCTTCTTTGCCTCCAGTACCTTCCCTACCAAGTGGAAAGAAGCGTTCCTGATTCCTGTCCCCAAAAATAGCTCTTCTACTAATTTCAGCCACTATAGGCCAATATCTATCCTCTCCTTCTTCTCAAAAATTCTTGAAAAGGTTGTTCATGGCCAACTCTCAAAATTTCTAAACAAACACAACCTCTTTAATCCTTTTCAGTCTGGTTTCCGATCTCTGCACAGTACTTCCACGGCCTTATTTAAAATAACTGATGATATCCGCTTCGCGATGGATAATCGTCAACTCACTCTTCTTGTCCTTCTGGACTTCATTAACGCCTTTAACTGTATTGACTATGACATCATGTTAGCAATTATGAAATCCCTGAATTTAACATCGTCAGTTCTACAATGGTTCAGTTCCTATCTTCGGGGACGCCGGCAACGCATACGTGTTGATGATAAGTTCTCCAATTGGTGTAACGTTGTTGCTGTGTTAGTATAAATAAACACAGGTTATAATCATAGGGAGCAGAAAAATTACATGTCAACTTGACTATCAATATCTACCTAAGGTCATTCTAAACGGTGTAGATTTAGAATATGTTAGGCAGGTTAAGAACCTTGGCTTAATTTTGGCTGACGATCTAAGTTTTTTTTTATAGAAGAGGGGGCAAACGAGCATGCGGCTCACCTGATGTTAAGTGACTACCGCCGCCCATAATCAACAGCAACACCAGGGGAATTGCAGGTGCGTTGCCGGCCCTTTAGAAAGGAGTAAGCTCTTTTCTTGAAGGTCCCCAGGTCGTATCGGTCCGGAAAAATCGCCGGTGGTAAACTATTCCACAGAGAGGTTGTACGCGGAAGAAAACTCCTTTTGAAACGTACTGTGGTGGACCGCCAAGCATCCAGATGGTGTGGATGGTATCGGGACGTTTTCCGCGTAGTGCGTTCACGAAATTTGGCGGCTGGGATTAATCCGAACAATTCCTCAGAGCACTCTCCATGGTGTATGCGAAATAAAATGCAAAGAGATGCAACATCTCTTCGCAGTGCCAGTGAATCGAGCCGATCGGAAAGCACTCGGTTGTCGACGATTCGAGACGCTCCCGCGCTGGATGCGGTCAATTGGAAGGAGCTGGTACTGGGGAGCCCCAGCCCAGAGATGGGAACAGTATTCCATGTGCGGCTGAACCTGCGCCTTGTAAAGTCGCAGGCGGTGTACCGGCATGAAATACTGTCCCGTTCTGCTGAGCGCGCCAAGCTTTTTAGAGACCAATTTGGCCTTCTCTTCCAAGTGACCACGAAACTGCACGTCACTTGATATGTCAACGCCGAGGATTCCGATACTGGCTGAGGCTACAAGGGGAGTGCCTTGAAACTGAGTAGATATGACAAAGGGGTTCTTTTTAGCAGTTAACGATCTAAGTTGGGTGCTACAGGTTAATATGTAGTGTATTATGTATGTGTATAAGTGTATATGTGTATAAACTAACATATACATAATATTATATAATGCGTTTTGAATAGTATGAATAAATAAGCTAGTTTTACTTTTTCTCGCGGCTCTACCCATAGCTCTCACCACACTACAAAAGGTTAGCTGGCAGAGAATGCCTTTTTTGGCATTAAGTTCGCCTTTGTAACAAATTGTTTTGTTTTAGTGCAATAAAGAATTTTCTATCTACTAAATTTATATAAACCACTAATTTGGCTTCAGCGCCCCTTATTTAGTCCCCCGGACTTGATTTTTCCGGAAATTATTAGAATTACAGACACGACTTTTCTACATATTTATTACATATACATATACAATATATATATATATATATATATATATATATACATATATATATATGTAATTATTTTACATATTTGTTAAGGACGAATCTACGATATGAATGTTTCACTCGAGAGAAAAATTATAACATTGGTTTGCGATAAAAAGCGTTAAGTGATACTGATAGATATATTAGTAGTGTATATGTTGTGGACTAAGTGATTAATAAGGCAAAATCTTCCATAAATATGTCAGAAACAATTGAAGAATATAGGTGAGCCCATCGCAACACCACCTACTTGCTTATAAAACTTTAAAACTCTTCCTTCCACAATAGACAGCCAGATGTAAGGCAATGTCTGAGTAGTGCTGCGTATTCGGCTGGCATGTAGAGATAAAATGACATGTAGAGATACACTAGAGGAAAATAAGAAGCAAGTAGATGGTGTTGCAATGGGCTTACCTGTATCTCCCAATGTCGCCTATATACTCATGGAAGACTTTGAGGAGAAATCCCTATTTACTTCACCTGAACGCAAGATGCTTAATAAGAACCCGCGTAAAAACATATATCTGACGTGAAGTATCAACGTTCCGGGAAGTCTGCAGTTTGTGATAATATCCTACATGGTCCAAACCATTACATCGCATTTAATAGACCACAAATCATCGCGAAAGAACATCGATTCCTACCAAAATTGTACGAGAGGCTATTAAATAAAAAAAACATGCTCATTTTAAAAGAGAAGGACGCTGGGTACTACCACCTGTTTGAGACCCCGTAAATAATAAAATTAAAACTAAACCCAAGCATACCACTTCAAGACCTTAAAACCCAGTAAGTTCATTCTGCGTAGATCGGACCATAAATAATAATTAAAATCTGAAGGTACTTCGGGTTAACACTGACATCGGGACGTCAGTCACCTCAGTACATATTTCTAATAATTTATTTACTACACTTTATATTTATACACTTTATAAATTTATTAAGTGTTATTAATGAAAAATAAAAAGGCTATTTTATTTATTTATGGACTTCCATTTGGCACATTCTTGACCCATATCTATCTTCCTTTACATTCATATTACCAACGCCTATATGTTCATTTGTTAAGAGTATACTAGTTATTTGAACGTATTTCCATTTATTTCCGATTTGGTAGATAAACTTTCGCTTAGTGCGCCCCTTTTGAGTCTGTCGTTCACTTATGCAACAAAGTTTTGCTTTGTCACTCTTTCGTGGTTCCCTCTTTCTACATGACCAAACCATCGAAGCATTTCTTTCTTATTTCGGATCAAAACACCTTCTTGCAAACCACACTTTTCTCTTATCACAAAATTTTTTACCCTGTCATTAAGATTCAGCCTTAACATACTCTTAATGGCTGCATTTACACAGCATGTATTCTGCTCTCGTGCTTCTTCTGCTGCACTAAAATATTTAAACTATTGTTGAAAGCTCATGTTTAAAAAAGTTATTAAAATAATCTATTTCTTTCATTTTAATTTTTTACTTTGACAATCATTTTAAACTTACACAATACTGAAAACTTTGATGAGATCGAAACTGCAGTCTACCGACGTATGCATCAATTGTTCAATTAAATTTAATTGTTCTGTTGAAATTACATCGAAATTATGTGTAACGATCGAGCTGCTATATTCTGACTTCACTATTAACTTTTTGTTACTTTGAAGTTATTGTTAATTACATAATTGCAATGACAGTAATTATGAATAATTATCTGTTCCGCGAGAGACACACTTAACCTATAATGCATGTTCGTCTAACAAGCATTTACAGTTATTAAACGGCCACACTTTATACTACATATTTATATCATAGGCTCTTTCTTTAATCTTAACCCATTAACGCCCAAAATTAAACTACACATTAAAATTATAACCACTCGTTATTTATTGCATGAATATGGACTAAATAAGAGGTACAAAAGTATTTTTTTTTGGGAACTGTCAGGGTGTACTTGTCCGGGTACAAAGGGCGAATCAGGCATGAAATTGTCCAAAGCGTGGTCGTTCCACACATAGTGTTTTGGCACATATCTCACAGCGCCAACGAACGCGGTTGTGGCAAATAACACATCGTAATGGGTTTTCGATGCGTTGCGGGTTATGTCCGTTATTTTCCTGCACAAGGCCAGATATTTTTGATGATGTAGGACGACTTTTCGTCTTAGTTTGGCGAAGGTATGCTCTAACAATCATACGCCGGAATAGCAAATGATCCATGTAGGGCATGTCAGAAGTTTTACTGATCAAGACATGGTAGGTAAAGACTACCTACCACCATTTTTTTCCTTTTATGGCTACTCGATAGAGACTAATCGATTGATCCATCTGATCTACTCCACCCATGCCTCTGTTATAATTGACAAACAATCTTGGTATATATACATCCACTTTTTGTTTTTGTATACTACACCACCTTTTACAGCATCAAAATTTGATCCCATCGTGACCACGTTTTTGTCTTTCCACCGCACGATTATTATTTCATTTTTGGTATCGAAACGATAGTCGTAATCCACTCTTGGTTTCTTTCTCATTGTTTTTACATCAGTCACAGGACAAATTTTTGTTCTATTTTCTCGTATTGTTCCTGTGGCTCTGTACCCTAAGAGTCGCAAGTCGTGGAGTAACTGATAATTGGTAAAAAAATTATCAAAGTATACGACATGTTCTTTTGGGACTATCGGCATCTTTGCTAATAGGGATTTTACCACTCTCGAGCCCAGTGGGTCTATCGACACTTCTGTAGATTTTCCGCAATATATGTCGAAAGTGTAGCAGTAGCCATCTGAACTTGTTGCAGCCCAACTCCGGTAGCCAAATCGTACAGCTTTTCCCATTATATATTGCTTGGCGGGATGACGACCAAAGTATTTTATCATAGATTCATCTATAGATAAGTTTTCGTGAAATACTCCCCACTGGCAAGAGTTTTTTTGTATAAGATCGCACAGCGGTCTCATTTTGAACATTTTATCATTTGAACCTTCCGCTAGGGAATTGTCGACGAAATTTAAGTTTCGTTTGATGTCCGAAAACCTATTGCGTGACGTGCAATTGGCGATCAATGGAACGCTGAGATCTTCATTCAAACTCCAATAGGCACGTTCGGAAGGCAGTTCATGATATCCAGTAAAACATAAAATGGCCAGAAAAGTTCTCAATTCGGGCTTATCAGTTTCAAAACTGTGTCTGTTATGTTGCCCAGCATACTTCATGCTATTTTCCACAATCAAACTCATAACATTATCATCAAATATCTTCTCAAATAACATCACAGGGCTGCAGTCTTTCAAAGATTCAACGAGGACTTCTTGTCGTCGCTGAATGATACCAGTTACGTCATGGGTCATGCTGTATAAGGGTAAAGTTTTTCTCCATACAGGCTCGTTAGAATCTCGCCTTTTAGCTCGCTTTGCAGGTCGTGAGTGAGTGGACAATAGCTCGTTATCACTGTCATCTCAGTCCGAAATATCATGATCAGGATGCAGTGGGGCTACCTCAACTGTACCCGGTACGTCTCTCGGAAAAGAAGACAAGTCATCTTCATTACCTTCTTCTTCTTCATCAATAACAATAGCTGGATCTGGTGGCAATAAAAAGACGTCGTACTGCACATCATCATTTTCATCAGCTACTCTAGATTCAAGGATTTCTTCAAGTCTCGCATAGTTATTTTTACTCGTAAAGACGTGACGGTCAGTCATTGTAGGGTCTTTGAAAACACCTGCAAAATACAAAAATTATTTACACAATCCCCCATTGTACACCAACAGGTACAGCACAGAAAAATCATGTGTATTGCACTTTTATCCAAACGAATTGTTATTCCAACCATATAATATGTCAGTATAAAGCCTTATAACACAAAACAGTAAAAAACAATCATGTATATGTAATTATTAGTAATAAAAATATAAACAAAATTCTTATCTTACCAACTTGGCTCACAACTCGTAAAACGAAGTGACTTTTCGAACATTTATTTTCCAGTCACACAATTTTTTCTATATTCCGTAGACAGCTACAAGTACACAGATTAAAAATAACCAATCAATACCGTAGTTCCACAAATAAACAAAACGCACTCACGCATAAAATAGTTGTACACACGCGGGTACAGAGGGCGGTAATGGGTTAAAGAAATTGAGCGTTATGAAAATTGCGTCTTACTGGGAACCCTATTAAGTATTAATATAGGACAATATTATAGTCCTTATTATTTCTAATTGGACTGCCTCTTTGATCTAGTAGTTATAAAAGCGCGACTGCTTTTTATAACGTCCCAGGTTCTATTCCCGGGCCAGACAGAGACAGAGAGTTATTGTGTTTTTGACAATACTTTATCATTAGCAAAAAGCAAAACTATTAGTCCTGCACTTGATTTCTATACGGTGATGTCAGATTGCTGTCCCATCGAAATGTGTGAGTGAGGTAATAGAGTATATCTGTGCTTACGCATACACTCAGGCACTATAATCCTGCCATGCACACATAGTTAAAATTCGTTAAGACTGGCGGCCGTGCTAGAAATTAATTCTGGAGGAATTTATTGTGCAACACCTTGCATAGTATATTCCAGCAATGTTGTTGCAACTACATTGCCGAGCACTTGAATTCTTATACGTGAGCAATATTTAGTTAATTCACTTACATTTTGGGTATATAAAATATTGCCGTAAGTGTTGCAATACGTTTTTTGTGGTATAAACCACAACTCAAGGGCTATACAATTTAAAAATTAACGCTAGAATTTTTTTTACAAAAACTTAAAATGTAATAATGGCATACTTACTCAATATATCCGCTACCGGGCCGTAATTAAGCAACTGACTCCCATTCATATTGTATAAAAAATTGAAGCTACTACTTCAAAAGCTAATGAAAAAAATATCCTCTTTTTTTTGATTCGGTATTTACTTTTTTATTCGTACTTTGTATCTTATTTAATGTGGACTAAGGAATATAACAACCTCAAGGTAAAAGCAATAATGTAGTCTAATTAGTGACTTTAAAAATTTCATCTCCTATTTATTCACCCATAGGGTAATAATTTTTCCTGTAAATTTATATGAAATATCCTCTGAAGTATACCTAGCATTAAATTAGAGAATTAGAGAAGAATTATTAGAATTTATTTACAATTGTTATGTTTATTTAACAATCGATGTCACATAATATGTAACGTACATACGAAAAAATACAATGGAATATTATATTGATTGTCAGATTGTTGACGTACTTAATTTTTTAAATTGTTTTCGACTTGACGCTTCTACATAAAAGACGTAAGAATTACATACTTTTATGTTAATTTGAAACAATATAAACTGTTGAAGAGTTTGGAAACTAATATCATGCCCATTAAAGTCTCTGTAAGAAAATTTTGCCTCATCTCGAACGCACGCGATATAAAACTTTGTGACGCGATAAAAAGCATCTCCTTGACGAAACGGGGCTCTCAACAACGCTTCTATATTTATTATAAAATTATTAAAGCTTGTCAAATTAAAATGAATTTGGAAATCAACCGAATGTCGATAATGTGTTGTAAGATACATTACCCCAAACTATGGATGTGGCTAAAGGCGACGGAAACTAAGAGATTAGCAGCAGCGTCTTCTTAATAACGACTAGCAGATAAGAAACAGCATTTGCCAACACGTATGTCAAGCGTGACATCTATGGATAATATCTCCCTTATGAGACAATCTATGGACAATCAGTAGTGGACTATTATAGTTACCTACATGTCTGAGCAATAAAATATTTCAATCTCACGTGAACTCCGTCAACATGCATGAAAGCAGCGTGGTGAGCTTCTTCATAACTCTTTTAAAAGTGAGATGCTTCAATTATCACTACTTTAATTATTAGACAGTTTTTATTCAGGCTTTTCATTTGCCTAAGGGCTGATATCGGGTTGGATATAGAATCGTTTGGCAGGAATTTGGGGGAGTAAGGTGTTTTATTTGGTGGAGTTTTGGTCTTCGATTATAATAATACCACTCACATTAAAAGGTAATGCACCGTTATCGAAAAAATAAATAAAAACTAGTATAACCTTAAATACGTAAAGTATGAATAGTGATACATTTTTTATTATTAACTGAATTTACGGCTCTGGGTTATAGACTTTCTGAGAAAAAATTATACGATATCACTGTGAAAGCTGAATAGCATACAGAATTTTGTGTCTGTGGCGGGAGCAAAGGCAACCTCACTATAGATATCTGATCTGATCGAATCTGTACTAAAATTAAATCAGTACACCCCGAACCACATAGTCTTGTCTGCTCTACTCATAAAGTGTTTTTGTAAAGCCGTAGGTGCCGAGGGAAAGCAGCCCCCGCCCGTCGTAGCAAGTCGCAGGCACCTGTGCGAGCCGTAGTGTGGTTATTATTGTATTATATATTATGTTTATAATTTAAAGTAATTATAACAGCTAATATTGTGCAAGAGCGAGCGAAGCGAGCGGGACTTAGGGCACCACGACTCGGATAGGTTAGGTTAGAAGGGTATGGCGGTGTCGGTTCGTGGTTATTTGATTGTAAACAACTCAGAAGTAGGAGCCCCGCGATGCGGGGTTCCGTCGACCGGCCTTTTCTCGACTGCACCACGTGATGCTTCCCTCCTCCAACTCTCTCCCCCCATAAATCAGGATTATAGTCAAAAACATTACAAAAACATAACCTCAAAATTAGATTTTTAAAAATTTATAAGAAGAAAACTAAGCATGTTCGGTAAGATGTGGAAGTGGGGGGCGACTCTACAACTCCCCCGGCTCCCTCTCCACCACCTCCCATCATCACATCACTCGATTTTTGCTAACGGAGTAGCGTCGAAGTATATTTTAATATTTAAAAAAAATAGGTAAATGACTAATTAATTACGTTTTTGACGTTTCATCTGTCAATATCATATCGATATATAGTACCGAAACGATCTAGTGAATCGATATTTCACCCTAGAGAATTGAGATCGAATCTTTTTCTGTTTCATTAAGATTTGTAAAATTATTTAAAATTAGTTTAATGTACCCCTACTCGTAAAGAATGACAGTTTTTAATTCAACCATTCAATGTTATCTGTACCTTGTATCTTTTGATATTGTAAATATAAACTTTTAACGCAAATCAAAAACACACACACACAGAACATCTCCGAACTATCACATGGAATATTGGCCGCTCCCCGAGCAGAACACCTTGCCCGGTGGAAGATTTTCCTTTTTCCTTCCACGGCCACATAATACACGCGATAAAATCCGTATAACTTGTATTATTTAAATGAAATTGCTCAGCACCCATACATTGTTCGCCCTGGAACTAAAAGCTTCAGAAAATTGTGTGTTGTATCGTCGATCATTAGGGAATTCCTATATGATCTTATTTTAATAGCGGCCTAGCTACAGAAAACATATATTTCAAAAAAGTATCAGATTTTGAGGTTATAATAGCACTGCCACTATTATGGTTTTTATCATTTGGTGTGATTTTTAAGAAACTGAAAAACAATATCGTGTTACATTTAACAATTTTAGTAACGTCTTTCAACAACGTAAAACCACTAGCAGAGCCGCAATTACTTTTAGGGAATAACAAAAATAAATGATATTTGATTGTTTTTATTATAGTTTCTATTTGCACTTTATTCGAAATAAACTCAAAATAAGATTCAGATTAAAAAATATGCGACTGTTTATTAACAATTCAAAAGTATAATGGATTGGGCGTCCCTAGTAATTTTTATACACCACATGACGTTTGGCGAAGATGGCGGCGATTAATATTATAAATTGAATAGAATACTTTTTAATGTTCATTTTGGCACGCAACTAGTCCGTGTTATAAAAATATTTGTAACAAATATAATAAAATAGATAATGAATTATCGTGTATGTCCGATGTTTTTACTGCCCAGGGCGATTTTGGACATTGTCGTTTAAAGTGTTGGCGTTAATACCAGAAATCATTATAAAAATCTCTTTATTTATAACTATGAAGATAGGAAGTATTTTGTAACAATTGCAATTTTTATCAGTTTATTTATAGACAAAAAAACGAATACCTATTAAATTTTTTTATAGATTAGAATTTAATGATTTTCGATAGATGTCACTATTAACTATTAAAGTAGTAGATAATTAGTTCTAATAAATCGTTTTTATATCTACTAAAAGAAATAACAAAAACTAAAAAAAAAATCAAATCAATTATGAATTTAGTAAAATAACTAGTAATTTATTAATATGATTTAATTTATTAGCAAAGGAGGCCAAATGTCTCTACTTTTTGAATTTTACGTTAGATGTCACTGGCTCGAAAAAAGGAAATGTAGATTATCGACGTCCTTCTATTTATTACGCAACGATTCAAATCAATTTGAGGCTATATTAATAATAATTTTATTTATTCTAATAAAACACGTCAATCGTATAAAATAGAAATTAACATCTAAATGAAGGAAAATACTTAACCCTCCTTTTTTGGAAGTTCCGTAATCGGATAAAAACTACTTACACACGAAATTTCTTTTAAATCTACTGAGTAGTGAATGCGTGAATCGTGAATACATAGACATACAGACAGACAAATAGGCACAAATTCTAGAAACCACTAATTTGGCTTCAGTGCCCCAAAAACATCCTTCCATCCATCCCATATAGCCCCCGGACTTGTTTTTTCCAGAAATTACTAGAATTACA